TAAATAAAAGTTCTTGTCTAAACAACACAAGATACTTCAACTCTAACATTTGTATTTAAAAGGCATTATCAAAAGACAACTGTTTGAAGAAGAATAATGTTAATACCCAAAACGCTCTTCCTGGAGTTTGTTCCTAAATATAGTCATAGTTTATGTGAACTACAGCATGAAATACTAAACTAACTTCCACAGAACACTCAGCAATATTTATAATGCACTTCACTCTTTTTACCTTCTTGCACAGGACACATTGGTATTGCTGTTCCTGATGTCTATAAAGCTTGTAAGAGGTTTGAAGAACTAGGAGTGAAATTTGTGAAAAAACCAGATGATGGTAAGTCTTGATCAGAAATGCAAGTAAATTTTTTTTTTGGTTTTAATAGAGTCTGTCTATGAGATCTTCCTGGAAAGCTGGGTAATGTGTTGCTAGGAGTTGCCACTGCTTAGAGGTTTCTAGAACCAATTACTCCCGCACCACCTTATAGAGTGGGCAAAACTGGCAATAGATCCATCCCAGTAACAAGAATACATCAGTCTGCTACATGCCTTTTGTATGCAGCCTGACCTTCAGTAAAATTCACATTCTCTATTGATGTCATAGTTTACATGTCATCTGTACTGCTGCCTAGAGTTGTTACAGAATTTACTGTAACATGGATCAAATTTACATGGCACATCTGCTTGGAAATAACAAGGAATAACGATCTGCTTAGGAAAATAAGTCAGAAGACAATAATTCCTACTCATTTAAACTGAGTCATTCTTGACTTTTCTGGCTATTTTCATGTAAATCCACCGAACACCTACTATACAACCTACTAGTTATTATATTTTTAACTGGTTTTTTTGAGCTTTGGTAGGAATAGCCCCATTAGTTTGTATCATAATTGACTTGCATAATGTATAGTACAAATGTCTAGAGAGTATATAAGCACAGAATGTGTATGTGAAAATACTGCAAAATTCAGAAGTGGTGAGAAGTCTTGCATTTTTCAGCTGGATTCTCTTTCATAAAAAGACCTCATGAGATTTTTAGAACTGATGCATTCAAAACCAGACATGTAATACTAGTAATTGAAAAGAGATTTAAGTGATTTTCATCTTATTCACTGTGTTCTCAGCTGAAGCAAAATAAGAAATATAGCTGAAAACTTAACTTGATTTCTTAAATTAAGAATAGATGTTGGTATTTCTAGCATTTTAGAGTTTCTGAGCCTTTGTCTGTTTGTTAAACAGTGAGAGGCTTGAAATGACAGTTTTTGACTTAGAGCTGTGCAGTGGTAGGAATGAAAGTACATAGAAGTACAAACTTAGACTATGGAGAGAATCAGAAGAACTCCTGAAGCAGACAAGGCGTGGGAGCAGAACAAAACTCATCTTTAAAATTCAGAAACAAAATTGATGCAGCAAATGCCAAGGAGGAGGAGGAAGTTTTGGGCTTTACATTGTTTGCAGAGCAGGCTGGGAGATCAAGCATGGGGTTTACTTTCCTGCCTTACTGATCAAACATCTATTTTCTCAGTTGTTTTTGTGACTAGAATATATTAAGAGCTAGGCTGGGTCTGTTACAGTAAATAACTTAATGGAGCAACTATAACTACAAGTGTATGGTTAACACTTTAAATATAACATGTTAAACTGTGCTATCCTGATCTACTGTTGAAAACAACTTTTGGGGATCCTGTTTTAAGGAATAATATGTTTTCCAACAGTAAAATTTATAACAATCCTGTCCTGCATTTCTTTGCTTTATGAAGTGATGCAGAAGCATACTGTAAACCACATCAGAGGTAAAAATTTTATGGTAAAATTTCAGTGTGGAGTCAGGAATGATGGGAGATGAACAGGGCAGAGGAACACAGGATTTTATATCTGCAAAGCCAGCTCAAGAAAATATATCAAAACATCCCCAGAGCACAAAAATATTTTTCTGAATTTCAACGATGAACACTTACAGGGCAATCAACAAAAGATGGAATTCCAAAGTGACTTTTAACTATAGCTCTATTGAGAGTAGGATTGACAGTTTGGCATACAAAGATCTAATGCTGATTAAAAGCTAATCTGGATGTTTTTAGAATTATCCATCTAAATTTGAACTAATTCTCATGCAAAAGGGAAAAAAATGTTTTTCAAAGTAGTCATAGTTGACATTTAGAACCAGTCATGTAGTCTTAATTTTATCTTTTTTTTTTCCCCTAATAGGTAAAATGAAAGGACTTGCATTTGTTCAGGATCCTGATGGCTACTGGATTGAAATTTTGAATCCTAACCACATGGTGACTCTCACTTAGTGCTAGTGAAGTATATTGTGTAACAGAGACCCACTTTCAGACTGCTGGAGAAAATCTGTAACAGTGTTTGTGATATTTGCTTAATAGAGAGGAATCAGTCATGTTCAGAGTCTCCTCCAAAACTATCCCCTGGGACCTCACTTGGATTCCTTTTCTCTTGTCCTGTGATGTCACTGCAAATTGTTTCCAGTTAGGAATACTCAATCACTTTCTGGAAGAGCACTTAAACAGATTGTCCTTTTGAACATTGATTATGTTAATATTTCAATAAACATTGTCAAAAGATATGTGACCAGAAGCTCACTGCATTTCACACTGATTAAACTAGCAATGACAACAACTGTGTTACTACTGATGAGTATCAATGAGGCAGCAAAAAGAAACTTCAGTATATTTTTTTATGAAGTCAAAAGATCCTGAAGACTTCATATCCTATCTTGTATACTAGAAAATAAAATGTCAGGCTAATTTTGACTGGAGTAGTAGCGTGCTTATAAAAGTCATAATCGTACTTACATTATTCCAAGCAAAATTCTTTTAAGGAGCAGCCTTAAGCAGTCTTGCAAAAAGAAATTTTACAGAGGGAATAAATCTGTAGAGCAGAAAGAATTCCATCTTTCTGCTCAGCTTCTGACTGCTGATGACAGCCAAGAGAAGAGGTCTCATAGTTGCTAACTAACTCACAGTAACCCTTGTTTCTTTCAACACTAGGAAGAACTTGCTCATAATTTTTATTTCAGTAGAAGCCTGGGGCTATATTTGACTTAAATGCTCTGTATATTCTGCCTTAGGAAATTAATGAAAAAGAGTATCTAAAACAACAGTTTCCTACTACTGGACATTTGATCTGCCCTCCCAAAACAAGTGATGGTACATACCTGTGAGCAGCAGGAAAACATGTAGCATTTCCATGTGTTACACAAACTATAAAACCCTCTGCCTTGTCTTACTCTGGTTTGAATAGCACCTAACTTCTTCAGTTATGTGGCTACCAACTAATGTGTAGTGTAACCAAAGGCTAATGAATAGTGTAAAGGCATTGCAGTTCACTTCTCAATAAAGCATTGGTGAAAACTACGAAACATTTAAAAGCATGATGATGTGTTGCTTTGCTTATTGCTGGATTCTAGATGACTGAAAGGCTTGCTGTTTTGCTTTGAGGATTCTGTTTTGAATCATTGTACTCAGCAGTGAAATTTCCAGTGGTCCTTTCCTGTGGACTCTTCACAGACCTCACTGGTCCATCTCCCTGTCTCCTGGACAGTCTTGGGAACGTAATCAGTTGCCAATGCCAAAGGGAGTTGGTCACCTAAAAACTGGGTGAGGCTTGACCCCAGCCTCTCCTGTCATATGTTGGTCCCAAATGGTGGAAGGACCCTGGAAAGCCCCCATGTGAGCAGAAAAGCCACACTGTGGAAAGCCAGTGTCCACAAAGGAGACAGAGGAGTCCTGCAAATTTATTCAAATAAGGGGAGAGTTCACTGGGGCACACCCATTATAAACTCGCAGCCACATGTTGCCCTCTTCCTTTTCCCATTGGCTGAGGTACTAGGAAGGTGCAGCCTTCCTGAACTGCCTACCACATACTTCCTCCTTAAACATTTTCCCCCAAAGTTGAGAATCTCAGGCTTGTGCGTGGACCCATTTGTCTCTTTCAGGAGTCAAATTTCTGGGCCCTAACAAACCTATGGCTTGAAGTTGGTAGAGACATTAGGAACTATTTCAAAGACATTAACACCCATACCCTGCCTATGGAATTGCTTGGAAAGACATTAGCACATATCTTTCCTATCATGTAGTCCAGTGGATAACTACATAAGTAGGAGCAGGCTATGCTAAAGCTTCTCTGATTAGTAATCAAAATTTACTCTAAGCATGTTGGCTAATCTTGTAGGACCCTTGGTTTTTTTTAAGCTTGACAAAGTGTAGACATGATAGATTTGAGGTAGTAAAGAAGAAGCCAGTAAAAATCCACTGGCATCTACAAACTAGTTACAGAAGTATCATGAAGTGGGCAACGTGTGGGTTTGGGTTTTTTTGAGAAAAACAGTACTGCTGCTTGTCATACTGAGAACTAATTTAAACCAGTATGCAAATAGGAAATCCATGAATAAATTACTAAAGAAAAACACTTAATGGTAAGTCTTTTAACCTGCAACGTTTTTAAAATATTTTAGATGTAGAAAATTTCCGAAATTGTTTCATGTTCTCACTGATTACAGGCCGCTATTTTTGGTTCTTCCAAGGAAGGCTTCTTTTCTTCTAAATAAAGCATGGCATTAAATAGCGTGTAGTGCTTTGCCTCTCGGAGGGCTTAAATTTAGCTTCATGCAGTGCAACCGAAGTCACTCTCACGGTTACATAGCGACAGGCCCACATTCCCCATTCCCGCTGGGAGAAGCTCTCCTGACGCAGGAAAGCAGGACACGCACCGGAGGGCAGGAGCTACGCACGCCGCTACCAAGGAAACAGGGCTTTTGAACGCAGCCAAGGAGCAGCGGGCCGGTGGCAGGGAAGGTTAAACACCACTCGCTGTTCCGCACTCCCCGGTGTCCGGCCGCGCCGCTGCGTCCAGCCCGCCCGCCGCGCTCCAGGGGCGGAGCAGGAAACGCGGCGGCGGCAGCGCTCCCGCGGCGCGCCGGGACCCGCTTGCGTCACACGCAGGCCGCTGCTGCCCGGTGACGCCAGCGCGCCGCGGGGTGACGTATGAGCGGCGGCGGGGCGGGGGGAGGAGGCCTCGGCGGCGGCGGGGCCGGTGAGTCCCGCGGGCGGGAGGGCGTGGCGGCCGCGACCCCCAGGCCGAGCGGGGCTCCGAGGCTGCCCGGGGTCCTGAGGTGCTGCCGTCGGCGTCTCCCGCCGGGCGCGGGCAGGGCGGGCCGGGCCGGGGGAGCGCCGCCGTCCGGGGAAGGCGGCGGGCGCGTTTGGCGGGGAAGCGGTTTCACATGAAGTGCCTTGTTGTGGAGGCGAGGGAGGGGGCGGCCGAGCGGGCCGGGGTCGCTTCCCTTGGCGCCTTCCGAGCTGCGGGTCGGTGGCGGCCCGGGCTGCCCCGGGCGCGACCTTGGGCGCATCGCCGGCTCCGCTCCGCGCCCGCCTCACCTGGCGCCCCCTCGTCCTGCCCCTGGCTGGCTCCTCAAGGCCCTGCTGTTGCAGTCTAATTCGAATTTTATTTCTTAAAAAGTATAAGTTCGGTATTTTGACGCTGTCGCGGTACTCAATGTTTTACCTGTGCTTTGGTGTCGTAGTAGTTCAACCACTCTGCAAGTTACTCACTACTGTGATTCATTGGAATTACTCTTAGCTTAGAAGACATATTATCAGATTTAAAAAAAACCAACTTGATGTTAACTTGCTAGCAATCTGCCAGTGATCTCGCTTGTCGAGCAATGTCTTTTGCTCATGTTTTTAAACAGCACACAGACCTCCTTAAAGTCCTGTGCTGGAATAATTTAAGCTTTTATGTGTTTCAGGATTTAATTGAGCCTGCTCACAGAGCAAGTGTATTTGATGTGTCTTCTGTTACAATTCTAAATCAGCTGCTAGAACTGTTCCGTTGAGATATTTACTCAAATTTAACAAAAAAAGACCCCGAGAATTTTCACTAATGGCTTTTCAATGTATTTTGATAACACAGGCCAACTTGATAACTTGCATTACTTATAGGAAAGATACTTACATATTACATTTTAATCCTCATAAACCAGGAGACTTTCTTTGCAAAAAGCTTGGATTTGATTTGCAGGATTAAGGTGTGATTACTTCCTAGTTCATGAGACTACCTAAAAATATTTTTTTCTGCCTTCTCCTCCTTTGTTCTCTTAAACATATCCCATAAAGAAAATTAGAGTGACCCATATGAGAGAATTCATAGATCAAGATATCATCCATTTGGCAAATTAAATACAGTTTATTTTTCCTCCTGGAAGGTTTGATGGGAAGATTAACAGTAATTTGTAATTGTTGAGAGAGACTCGTTATGTTGGTTATGTATTTAAGCAAGTCAAGCCTCCAGATTTCTCCATTTCCTGACCTTACAGTTTTGTTTTGGTTTCCTGTTTAAAAAAGGCTCATGTAATAGAAAGGTCAGTGACTGCCTTAATTTGTAAAAAAAAAAACAACCACCAAAACCCAAACAGAACCCCTAAAACTTTAGTTAGGCAAGAACACTTGGAGAATTGTCTGTAATAAAGCATGTGTGATACAGTTTGTACAGACCTGGTTTAATTAGGACACCTGTCTGGGAAAATGGTGTTTTCAGGGACGTTAATGCTGAGATGTAGCAGAAATGTCAGGATGGAATTTTTTGGCTTATAATGAATATGGCAGTGTGGTTTTAACCATCACTGTCTTCTGTGATGGTTAAAAATATTAACAGTCAAAATTAAATTATGATGACTCAGAATAGCAATACTATTCCTGCATTCTGTTTTTAGAAGTTTTCCCATGAAATTGAAGGCTTTTTAAAGAATTTCTTTCTGCAAGAAGTTGAATTGAGAAATACGCATCTCTCTCACTTTTGTCATAAGGCTTTGTGCTCATGGTTTCTGATGGTGTGTATTTCATGCATTGTTCCAGGAAATGGTCCAGTTGTTGCTGTGCAGCTGGATGTTGCTGAATAACATTTCTATGAGCTTGCTGTTCAATCTGCCTGTTGTTCAGAATGGCGAAGAACCCTAATTTCCCAGAAGCGGGGAGTCTGCCTACAGGCTACGCGCACTGTAGGTCTTCAGACAGCTTCACTGGTGAGTGGACCCCGTGTGTTTTCTTGAGATTCTAATGGTTTGGTGTATGCCATTTTAACCAGGTTAATTTTATATATGTGTTAATAAACAATCTGAACTAAGTATATTGTTCTTTGTACTTTGCTAAACTTATTCCTTCTCTTCTGTGACTGGAAAGCATCTGAGCGGAATGTAAAATATTAGCGCTACAGCACTTAAGTGACAGGAATGTGTTTGCAGATGAGCAGGGCATAACTTCCCATATGCTTTGAGTCAAAACATTTTTTGGTACTAAATTGCTGTTTAGAATGCTGTGATTGGATGGTGTGGTTAGTTTCCATTAGTGTTACCATCTGCTTTCCTTTTAATTCTTTCACAACAGAAGGGTTGGAGATGAGACTTGAAAGTTCTGTGAATTGCGCTTATTTGAGCTTTCAAATTCTGTTTTTATAAAGTAGTATGGGTTAATTATGTTTTTTGTGGTTTTGGCTACAAAGTATCAAAACTTGTTTGGTGGTTTTGTTGGTTTTTTTCCGTTACAATTTTCACTCAGGTTCAACTTTGATTGAACCAACCATTGTTACTTAGAAGTACAAAGGAGCTAGGGTTCTGACAGAACCAAAGTATTTACACTCTGAATGTTGAAGTATTTACTGAAAATTTCTGTTTCCTGAGATTATATATTTATGAAAAGACATACGTGTATCCATTGAAAATAGAAAAAACATATGATTTGAACCTGTGGTATGTTTGTACAGTAGTGTTACTGTTACATCTATCATGTTCTGTGAGTCTGTGGTAATAGAAATTGAAACTTAAGTAATATTTTACTGGAATTCATTTACAATATTTGAAGTAATTATGAAGTAACGAATTACAAAAAATTGAAATACTACTCAAGTGCCATTTAATCAACTGAGAACCAATTTTTAGATAAAAGAGCAGCGTAAAAGAATTACATTTAAGAAAATTCTCCTTGTGTAATTCTGATAAAAGTATTAGCTTTCTAGGTACAAACTAGAGGCTGTAGGAATTAGTTGTTTTAAGAGTATGAAATTATTTGCTCAGTGTTTATAAATTGGACTTATTTCATGAAAAACTTAATTCTAGCAAGTCTGTTTACTTGCATTTATTTCTAAAGTTTGATAGAGCTATCAGTTATGTAAGCGTTCTTTACTCATGTTATATAAAATTTTTCTTCAAATAATTCATGATTAATTTCTTATAGTCAATTTTCTATACCTGGTAGAAAAACAACACTTGCATGTTTCATTGAAGCAGCACTGCTTTTCAGAGGATTCCTCAATGTTAGCCTAAATGAGGGAGGGAAGAGACTGAATGCTGATCTTTCATTGCAACTGAGAGTTGTTTAGAAAGGATGTCATTGTTGTGTTTGCTGAATTTCCTAGATGATGTTTTTGCATCCCATAACATGTTACAGATTACCTACTGAGTAGAAATACAGGCGACTGCAAGCATGGAGGGGGTGGTTGTTTCTCCAGGCACAGCACACATTATGTAGTATTGCATGCTGCCTTATGTCATTAATACTAGGCTGCATTTTTCACATGCTCGTTGTTGAAGATGGCCACCAAATAGGGTGTCTTTCAGTGAGGTCATAGAAGTGGTTTGTAGGCCTTAGGACTTAACAAATGCTTTTTCAGATTGTTGCAGTTCTAATGGTGCCTCAAAATCACTGAGAAGACTGTTTTGTTTGTTGATTTCTGTGTCATGACCAAAGCTGCAGCAGCTGACTCCTGAAGCAGTTAATTAGCTCTGAATACCTCCTGGAAATAGGTTATGGTGCTGGCAGCAGGCTTACAAATGGCATGTTCTTTGACTGCCAGGAAGAGTAAGCATCTGTATTCTCTGAAAAGGTGATGTTGTTTGATGACAGAAGAGCCAGAGGGAGCTTCAGGAAGGGTTCTCTGCAACAAGTTCTTAGCAGCATCCATCTTTTTTTTTCAGTCATAAATATTACTTTTGAATAACAACTACAAAAAGACATGTTTAGCTATACAGGGAAGTTGTGAGCTCAGTGCAATTTGGAGCAGCTAAAGAGGTTATTAAGTTTTACTTCCTCAAACAAGAAATGTACAGATCACTTAACGAGTTGCCTGAATTTGTACCATTAATTAATCCAGCCTAGGAAGTGAAGTCATGTATTATTTGGTTCTATATTTTGGAGGCAGAACTGTCTCACTGGTCTGCTTTATATGAAAAATCCACAATACAGACAAAACTTCTTTGGAAATCTGTACTAGTAGACAATAGATGAGTTGGAGTGATTCTTCAATATACTGGTGGTACCCATAGCACACAGAAGAGGTATGAACATGGTTTTGTAAAGGTGGCAGTGCCCAACACTTTGGGTCATTCAGATATTTGAAAGGCCTCCTCAGCTTGTAGCCATCATTTGAGTCCTGTATTTCCTGTGCTCAGCAGGTTTGTATTTGAAACTGATGGTTGGAATAGTACATGGAACCAGCAATTTGGAGAGCATTACCCATCAGAAGAAATTTGCCTTGCTGCTTACACACAGGCTGATATCTAAATTTCTACTTTCATTGCTTGCATCTTGATGTTCATAAGGACTGGGCATCCTTGGGTCACTAGCAACTGTTCCCACTTCAGACTTTGCCCTCTTTTATTCACTGATACTTGTTTAGACAGAGGTTTATGTACTCTTGAGAGGGAAGTGTGCTTTTGATTTTATTTGTTTATTTAACCTTAAATAGAAACAATTTCCCTTGAGCTTTTTGCCCTACTGGCACATGACAACATGCACAGCTACTGAAAGCAAAGTTAAGGTGCAGCTGGTGGCACTCCCTTGTCTTCACTACTTTTACTCTCAGTTTTATTCAGACAGTACTTGTTCTTTTTAAAGACAAGAGTGGATTCAGGAAACAAAGAAGTAGAATGTAGTAAAAAAGTTGAAATAAAAATAGATTGTAAAATTAAAATGTGCCAATATTTGTACATGGATGAAGTATCATAAATCAGTTTCCTGAATCAACAAATGTTTAAACTAGTAGAAGAGAAATTATACAGAGTTCCTTGATGATGTGTAATTCACACATAGTTCGTTTGCCTGACTATTGCAAATGAAGATCAACAACAGCAATTATGGGTGTGGTATGGAAGTCTTCAAGGAGTAGGAAGACCTGAGATTGCAGCTGAGTAACAAATAACATCTTTTTGCATACTCCCTCAGTGTAATAAAAAGTTTTGTATTTTGAGGACATTTCAATTTTACTGTTGTCTATAAAGTCTCAAACAATTATATTGTGGTAAGTGGTATTGCTGGTACAAACAGATGTTGCTGGGCTGATGTAATCAGCTTAATTTTGCTTGTTAGAAAGTAAATCTTACTGGAAGTGTATGTAGAATAAATCTAAATTGTCTTAACTAATTGTAAGTTAACCAATGCAAGTGGAAGAAATAGTCTGTTATGATGAAAACCTGAAAATTAATTTGCTTTCATGTCAGGATAGAAGAATGACTACAGTGTTCTGTGCTCCCATGGTTAGGCTGCCTCCAGTATCTTGGCCAGTGTTGCTGGTTCTGTGCTGTAGTGGCTTCACAGGCACACAGCTTCTAATTCAAGTCCCAGAGACAGCCAGGGGAAACCTGGGAGTTTGTTCCCATTTGTGTTGTGATCTATGATTGATTTAGTATGCTGTATTTTTTTCTTAAATTTTATTTTCTATTTCTATCACTTTTTGTTTAGTTTCATTTGAGGTTCTTTGGGATTGTGTTTCCACAGTATCTTGATTTTAGATAAAGCATTTCCGTGTGTTCAAGTGCAGATAATAATTAACCCCAAGTGCATCTGATTTTTTACATATTTGCTCATAGTATTTTTACAGTAGAATGTAAAAGTGTATTTCTGTCATGAATATTTGACTTGAAGGATTTGTGTGTTAGGTGTGTGTAAGGTATGGCCTCATCATTTTCTTGGTTCATGTGGTACATTTCTTCAGCACTGGATATCTGCCTGTTTTGAAAAGTGTCTAGTAACTGGAGCAGGGAAGATACCTCTGAAGGTATGGATGGTCATTATCTGAAACAACCAACCTCTTTTTAAAGAAAAGTAAACCAAAGTGTCACAGTAGAAGCCAATATAAGACCTAAATTTGCTTTTGGATGCTCTTGCCATTGAGACTACAGAAAGTCTGTGTTGCCAAAAAAAACCAAAACTATAAAAAGCTTAAAACCTGTTGTGAATGAAGAAGAAACAAAAGAATTCTGCAGAAGATATGACTAATGCATTTATCTATATTACACATTAGTGGGCAATCTCCTAATTTTATGACTGATCGTTATGTTTACATACATATATATATGTGTGTGTCTGTATATGTGTGCAGGAACAAAAAGTCATCAAGGAAACTGAATGTAAAGAATAAGAAAATGGAACTGGACATTGTAAAGCTTTTCTCTCTGACAGACTTGGTTCTTAATTAAAAGTTTCCCTGATTTTTTTTTTCTCCCAATTCTGAAAAGCTGAATAGAAATCTACAAAAGCAGTTTTTATTTTTAACTGATTCTAGTACAGAGAGTTAAGACTAAGCTTAATTGGTTACCTTGCTTATTTTACTTTGTGTGTGTGCATTTTAATTCAGATAAAAGTTGCTTTCTAATGGTAACATGATGTAAAATAGTTGAATTTTTAATTCCCTTTGTTGGTAACTTTTTCTTTTAAGTAAATAGGTTGACTGAATAACAAGGTGATAATTCTCTGAAATACTTAGCTAGAATTGTTGGTGCCAGCTGTGTTGAGTCTGGTTGAAAATGAACTTTCACAGAAAACCTCAGTTTAATTTTTCTTGTAATTATATAATTACTTAGATTAGTCACATTTTTTGTTTTGGTTTTTTTTGCAGTTATGCTTGCTATTCATAATATTATTGCCCTGTATAATACTGCTTGCTTTCTTTGTGCTTTAGGTTATCAGTATCACCATCCCTCCAAGATGAGTAACAGCCACCCGCTTCGTCCGTACACGGCTGTGGGGGAGATCGACCACGTCCACATTCTGTCAGAGCACATTGGTGCCCTAATGAATGGGGAGGAATACAGTGACGTTACCTTTATTGTGGAAAAGAAGCGTTTTCCAGCACACAGAGTCATCCTGGCTGCTAGATGCCATTATTTCAGGTGAGTAAGGCTTTTTGTCAGGTTCACAGGAAGTTTTTGTGCAGATGAGATAAACATTATTTCCCTGTGAACTTTTCAGGGTGTAATCATCTGTCCATTGAGTGTGACCTTTTCTGTGTGAATGCTTCCCAGCACATCAAATCATTGTGTTCAAATAGAAAAAGATAAATACCATGTCACAGTGTTATTCTTTTGACCTTCATTAAATTGGATTTTGAAGGTAGTTTCACAAATTCAAGAGAAAGAGAACTTGAGAGCAGGAAAGTACTACTGCAAAGTTGTTTTGATTTCTCAGAGTATAAATGGTGTGTTTCTATTGAATATAGTCAGATAGCAAGCTTGATTTTGATGAATTGGAATTGAGAAGAGGTTTGGCTGACACAGACTAGAATATATATTTTAAAACTGGGAATAATACTAATCCAACTTTTTCTTAAGAGCTGGAAATTTTTCAATAGAAATACATTTAATATCCCAGTGAATTTTGCCAGAGGGATAAACTACTAACTAAATTCTACTCTCTTCCTTGTAGAGCATTATTGTATGGAGGAATGAGAGAATCTCAGCCTGAAGCAGAAATTCCTCTTCAGGACACCACTGCAGAAGCATTTACCATGCTGTTGAAATACATTTACACTGGTCGTGCTACGCTGCGAGATGAGAAAGAAGAGGTTCTTCTTGACTTCTTAAGCCTAGCACATAAATATGGATTCCCAGAACTGGAGGATTCCACATCTGAGTATCTTTGCACAATACTTAATATTCAGAATGTCTGTATGACTTTTGATGTTGCCAGTCTTTATTCTCTTCCCAAATTAACTTTTATGTGCTGTATGTTCATGGATAGAAATGCCCAAGAGGTGCTCTCCAGTGAAGGCTTCCTGTCACTTTCTAAGGTATATCTTTAGTTTGTATTTCTTTTCCCCAAGACTGCTGATTTCAATGATAATACAGTTTTGTGATGAAATACTAATGAGGGCACCAATTAAAAACTTGTGTAAGCTCATAGTTATTTTATGCTTGTGAAACTGCGATGGTTGGAAATGCTCAAGATAAGCCGAACTGAAAATTTTGGCAATCTGTTCTGAATTTTTCAGGTATTGACCAATCAATATAGTTTAATATACTATATCTAATGGAGTGTTCTAAAAGATGGCAGCAGGCAATCTAATTTTAATTTATCTTATTTCATCTGTTCCTGGTATAATATAATTTGGCTTCTGAGTACTGCAGAGTGGAAGTCAGATATAGAATTGAATATGACAGGACATACTTTGTTCTATTAATACCTTGATACAGGCTTCATCAGTGATGGGTGAACTTTTCTGCAGGGTGAACTAAAGCATTCTGGAGATTACTGTGATTTATATGGCTGATTGTCATCATGCTCTGAACTTGCAGAATATGGTGGTGTGGTATGGTGGTTTGGGTTTTGTGTGTGTTGTTTTTTTGTTAGATGCATAAATATTTGGGACTGAGTCAGGCTGTTCTACAAAGTTGAAATTTTGCATTTACTCTGGAGGGGTCTTTGGGCTGGACTTAGTAGCAGGAGTGTTTTCAAGTAGTGTTCACATGAAGCAGCAGAGCACCTTGAATGAATGATGCTTTAGCTGTGGCTTTTTAAAGTGTTTTTGTCTTAGGGGAAGAGCTGTGAAGGGTCCATTCCTTGAATGAGTATATGACCATGCTGTAAATTACTCATTGTGTAAGGAAAAAAGATACTTTTTTTCTCTCTGTACTTTCTCATATGCTATTTGTTTAAGCTGAGTTCTGAGATTATCTTTATTATCAATAAAGAAATGAGCAAGTATCATTCATCAGGAAGTGTACACTTTGAGATCTTTGACACAGCCAGTGCTGGTATATAGGAGAGATCTTTCCATTTTCTAGGCAAGCTCCTGATGATTCTGCTAGCTAAGTGAAAATCAAAAAGCTATTTGATTATTTGTGTTCTCATTTTGCAGTCAGTGGGTTTTCTACATGAATAAAAGCCATTGGAGTTTTTACCTGATGATTCTTAGTTGGTACCCAAAGAGAGAGAAAGATTGACAGGACAGAAATCCCAAGTAGTTAGAAATGGTTAAAAAAGTGATTTCAAGCAATACTTTTTTCTCTCATCAGTGGTCTTATAGCAACCTAAGTTTAAAGGAATACTTTGAACTATACTGCTAAGTCCTCAAATCTTTTATAATATTCCAAAGTAAATTTGCACTACTGAATGGTATTATATTGATTTGATTAGTTCTCTACATTTCAATTTTTTCTAGTGATTTTGTTATATTGCCTATTATTTTGGTCATGGATTCTGTAATTCTTACATAACTAAAAGAATCTACAATTTCTGGGAGTCACCCCTTTGGAGATTATTTTTTAATAGCTATAAGGTAAAATAGCCATTAATTTTTGCCTTATTTGAATTTCCCTTGATTAAAAAAAAATAAAATTCAACCTTATTTCTGTTTATTAAGGGGGTATATTTTTTGTTATTATTTCTCTTTTCTAGGCTGCTCTTCTAAGTATTGTACTGAGAGACTCATTTGCAGCTCCTGAAAAGGACATTTTCCAAGCTTTGATGAACTGGTGTAAACATAACCCCAAGGAAAACCATGCTGAAATCATGCAAGCAGTACGTTTGCCACTAATGAGTCTGACAGAACTACTGAATGTTGTAAGACCTTCTGGATTGTTGTCACCTGATGCCATCCTAGATGCCATTAAGATTCGTTCTGAGAGTCGGGACATGGACCTCAACTACAGGGGCATGTTAAGTAAGCATCAGGTTTTTTGTTTCTCTCTCATTTAGTGACTGTGGTTGTCTGGAGGATATGCTTAATTTTTGCTTTGAGTTTTCATCTATTACTGTTCATCTATTTACTGTGTTAAAGAGGTTTGCAATATGAAACATCTTGTTATGTAACTGTTCCTACCATTTTTATTTCTCAATATTAGTCAATTATTCTCTTGCTTTGTATCTCAGATGTTGCTCACAAATTAGTGTAATACCATTTTCCTAGAGGAAGTAATTTAGTAGAAAAGGTTTTACAAAATCATTGAAAATAAAAATTAATTGGCTGTGAAAGATATGATATTTAAACGGTTTTTCTGTGACTTGTTTTCTACTTCATAAATATTTTCATAATTTCTCCACTACTTAAGATTTTTCTCTTGCTCTTAATGCGCATGTCTAAATACTTTAAACAAGTCTCTGAAGTCTTTTTAATAGAAGCCTAAAAAGTGTAAGAAGACTTGTGTTTGACTTTTTCTGTGTTCTCTGTTAATTCAACAGGAGTGTCTAACACTTAAGCTTTAAAAAGATATTGTTAGCCATCTAATGTATGAATTTGACCCACAGCAAACGAAAAAAGTTCAGTGTTCTTTAAGAGTCTGCACTGTAGTCTCCATCATGCATGATGAGCCATGAAAATTACTGCTATCTTAGAATTGCATATTCTTTGTTCTCCCTTAGAAGTTATAGTTATTAATATTTAAACATATGAGTTTAATATTAGGGTATTGTAAAAGTCTTGTTATGTGAGACATTCTGTTGACAATGCAGTAGATACATTTGAATAAGTCAAATGGTCTTCTCTGGATATTTATCTCCACAATAAAATTCTCTAATCACAGCTTTTTGGAGAGTGGAATTTCTTTGTTGTTTTAGTACTCATTCAGGATCTTGAAGCTTTTTCTGTTTGTTTTCTAGCTCTTCAAATTCTGTTCTTTAGATATCAAATTTTTATCAGCCTGTTAAAATCATACTTCTATTGTCAACCTGCCTGAAAAGTTTGGGATAGCTTTTCATCATTTAGTTTTCAGATCATATTTTGTAGGATCTCTCCTCAAACAAAGGCTGTTAAAAATGTCTGTTGAAGAGACTAGTTTACAGGGTTTTGTTCTGTAGTTGAAGTTAGGATCATTATTCCCAGTTAGCTTGAAGGAAGCTGTTCCTAGGACACAGGCTTATTACTGTGAAATGGTGGCATAAAAAAGCTTGCTTTTCCATTTGAGTTCAGAGCCCAAGTAGCCAAAAGTTTCCCATTTCACTTGAGTTCATTTAGCTTTGCAGGGTACTGGAAGCTTATATATCTGTCAGAGGAGCATATGTGTGGCTTTACTGCTTTGCACCACTCTGCAAATTCAGGATGGATCTTGAACATTTGATACACATCTTGTACATTTGAGTTTCTTCCATTTAGGGGAAAAAAACCCCCACCAGTAAAATCCAAACTAAAAGCAAACAGCAGTTGACAGGTGCAACAGAATTCTGTAAAATCATGAAGGGGACTGAGAATATAGCTGCTACATAATAGTAAATTATCACAGCTTTATTACCATAAAGCATGTAGGAGATACCAAATAAAAGTGAAGAAGCTAAATATTTTAATGCCTCTTTTTTATCTTATTTTCTTTTCCTTTTTTTTTCCACTAGAGCATGTGTTTGTGGCCAAGAAAGGATACTAGCAGTAAATCTTCGGTCTGACCTAGTAGAGTTGATATTCAGAACATCTAATTTGCAGTATTAGAGTGTAAAATTTAAGAAATTATTCCCTTTTCTTCTTAGTACCAGGGGAGAATATTGCAACAATGAAATATGGAGCACAAGTTGTAAAAGGGGAGCTGAAGTCTGCTCTTTTGGATGGAGACACTCAGAACTATGACCTGGATCATGGATTCTCTCGACACCCAATCAATGACGACTGCCGCTCCGGCATTGAGATTAAACTGGGCCAGCCCTCGATAATCAACCACATACGAATTCTCCTGTGGGACAGAGACAGTCGGTAGGTGCCAAGGTGACATAAAAAGGAAAAGTAATGCATTTTGTCCTGGACATAATGTAGCAGTGCAAACTATAATTTAAATATTTTATGGGAATAGCATGGTGGTGTTGGAGCTGACAGTTACAAGGTTTATTTGGAAACAACCTGATTTTTAAATGTAATTTTGGTTACTTACATACCAGATCATATTTAGAGATGTTAAACTACCTTAAAGTATTTAAATGTTTTTACATATTTGCATTTCAAAAATTAAAAGATTTCTTTTGTTCCAATTTTTCTCAATATATCAAAACAGTTAAGAAATGGCACACTTTGACAATAAGATTGGACTTGATCTTGGAGGTCTTTTCCAGCCTAAATGATTCTATGATTCTGTAATTCAGAGGTAGTAAATTTTAATTTAGAATGTGAATTACCAGCTGACTACAGTAGTTATTAGAAGCCAATTCACGGTTAGACTGCTGAAATATGAATTGTCATAGATGCTGTAGCCAGTTGTTACTGAGCTACTTCAGGTTATTATGGAATGTATGAAAATTCAAATTAAGCTCATTTGAGCAATTGAGAGGCTGCTGAAGTAGAAAAATTGCAGGGTTTTTTTTCTCTGAGAAATTTAATATATTAATTTTGTAACTTGCTATGACAAAGATCTTACCGTTTAGTAGGCAGCTCAGCAGGTATTCATAAGCTGTTAAAAAACAATAAAACAAGCTTACTTATACATTTATTATATACCTTATTACCTTTCTGATAAGGGATTTATTTTATTTTATTTAAAACAAAAACAGTTTAGCGTTGCAGAACATTTTCGTTTTGCTTTTTTAGCTAAGCCATATTATTCTAGAACAGGGTGTATAAAAGTTTTAGTTAGGATAAGGTACTTTGTAAATTTAAATAAATTTTTAAATATGAGTTAGTTACTAATAATTCAAAACCAATTTAATTTTAGCTATTTAACTGTTTCACAGAAGTTCTACTACTTCAGGTCAACTGAAATTTGTTTCACTTCTATTTCTTTTGTAAAGATCAAAAAAGTGGATCTTTGAAGGTATAAGGAGCTGCTTCATGTAATATTACACTAGTTGTGCTAGGAGATCAACCAAATTTATGAACCGATTTTCAACCAACTTTATAAAATCTGAAACAGTATTAGACATATATTAGTAATGAGTTCTTTAGCAATTTTTAGAGAACTCATGTAACTGGTAAAATACCCCTCATCTGCAGGGCATAAATTTGCAGCTGGTGAAACTCAAGGGAAAATATGTTCTCCTTGGGACAACTTCTTACAAAGTTATCTGTTACTTGGTGTCCTGTGTGCTTCATCTGAAGCTTGTACAACAAACTATTATTGCTGGTAGAATACCTGACAAGGTGGATCTCTAGAGATTTTTGTCTTCATGAAATACTGAGAGCTCAATGGTTTAAAATCTAGTTTCTGTGTCTTGCTAATTTTTAGTTTTTTCTTTTTAAATCATCCTGATTTCTGTGGAAAGTTTACTGTTGGGCTTTCTTTTGCTTCCCAGCAGGGATAGTACTGGAATTAGCACTGTCTGTCCTGTGCAAGGCCAGGAGTTGGACTTTATCATCCTAGGGGTTCCCTTCTAATTCAGAATATTCTGTGATTCTCTGTTCTATGAATTGTCAAGCTTTTTTCCCTCCAGTAACTCAACTGTCTAAGATAAATGGAAATGGAGGCATTTGGAGTACTTTGTCTATTTGTGGGCTCTTCCGTATAAGATACTGACTTCCTGGAGTGAGTTCAGCAGGACACCAAGATGAAGGCTTGAGCACGTGAGAACTTGCTGTTTTAAGATGAGCAGGCTTAGAAGGGAGAATTTGTTGCTCTCCTCACCTATTCAGTGGAAGAATGTAGAGAATACAGAGTTCTCTTGCAGCTGTGTGCTGAGAGTGCAAAGAGCACTAGACACAAGCAAGATAAATTAATAATAAATATTAGGAAAACAATTTACAGTGGGGGAGTTGAACTTGGGAAGAGTTTGGCCAGAGAGGTGTGCAGAAATTTGCCAGCCAAGATATTAAGGATCTGGGATTGCCCAGACATGTCCATATCTCTCTTACTCTGAGATTGTTCTTGTTTTTTGTAGAGATACTTTCCTTTCTACCATGTTTGTCTAACAATTGCTGGCCACTAAACTGTGTCTTTCTCCTGGGATACATGAATAATGAGATATATGAGAAAGAGGTATTTTAACACCTGTACAGACATGAACAGACCTGTACAACATGATTGCTTCTTGTTGAACAATTTTTTAAGCTACTCTGTTAATTTTAACAATCTGTGTGAAGTTCTGATCTATTGGATATTCTTAACAGAACCAAATGGAAGCTAACAGGTGTTTTACACCTCTCCTTCAGAGGTGTTAACAGCTGAATCTTAGCTGTATAAGTGCTAGGGGGAGGCTATCCAAACTGCCTCTGCAAATAAGATGCTATCCAGACTTAAAAGAATTAAAGGCATACCATTGTGTATGATAATGGAGCTCTATTTTTGAGGTAATATTTCTTTGCTGGGTATCTTCAGAAACTAAAAAGTAGCGTTGTGTATTAGTTAGAAATATATGTTAGCAATGATGAGAGCCTCTAAGTTCTCAAGGCAGAGAGAACTGTCAGAAGTCAGTAACTTCTGTATACAAACTGCTCAAACTCTAAAACTTTGGGGCCTAGTTTGGTCAAGTACACATGTGTTACTAATAGTAATGTTGCTAAAAACACATTGTATTTATGTGGGTTTTGAGTATTACACATCTGATTGGTGTGAATGTGAAAGCTGGTTGTGCAATTGACATTTAAAGACTCAGCCTTACCTTTCCAAGGTATTAACAGCTACCTAACATTTTAAGGATTTTTAAACAATATAGCTTTAAGTACATACTCTTTTAAGTCATCAGGAAAATTAAAAATACCAACAAAGACATTAATGTTCAATAAAAAATGCTTGTGTAGAACTCTATAAGAGAAACTCCTCTGTAGAAAGCAAAGTGAAAGGATGTTAAGTGCTGACATGGTGCTGTTGAAAGGCCTGTGAATGTTGCAGACTGGTTCCTTAGGAGAAGGAAAATATTCTGAAACATATATTCAGTGACTTGCAGTCCTACAAGTGAAATATCTACTTTATTCTAAGCATTAGAGTAACGGATACAATAGGGAATTAGCTGTAACTTTTACATTATAGTTTGGGTTTGCTTTCTTTTAACAGCAAACTATAAGGTAAACATAACTGATAAGCAAGAGGAAGACAGATTCTGTCAGTGGCTTTTTTATTTTTCGTGAGGTAATTTTGGAGTGTGTAAGGAAGTAATGACAGGCTCAGTGATGGATCATAAAGTACTGAAAGGGTCAGAAACGAAGAACAACTTCAGTTGTGAAATCGTCATAAAGTTTAAATGGTCATAAAATAAATTTGTTTTTTTCAAGTGAGGAGTTTGAATTTGCATTTTTGATCTAGTAATTGTTTTTCATTTTTCTTTATTGATTTGGCAATCGAAGTACCACTGTATCACTGGTGATGATTTACTTTTATTCTATGAGGAAGGAATAAAAATGATAATTTTTATGACAGAGTCAAAAGTCTCCATTTCATTGTTTTAGGCATAGTAGTCTCATCTAATGACTGTAGATTGTGAGTGTGTGGATGTTTTAAATCATTCTGAGAATACATGTTAACTGTGAGACTTCCTTTTCAAAGCTAGTTTGAAAATAGGAATCTGGGTAAGAACAGTTTTCTTTTCAGCACAACTGAAAATCCAGAAGTTGGTGTAAAATTTAATACCTAAAATTTGTCGACTTGTATTCTAACCAGTGTTTTTTGACAATCCATAGGTCTTATTCCTACTACATCGAGGTGTCCATGGATGAGTTGGACTGGATTCGGGTTATCGATCACTCTAAATACCTCTGTCGGTCCTGGCAGAACCTGTATTTTCCTGCCCGTGTCTGCAGGTTAGTTCATCAGTGTAATATACAGTGTCTGACATTAAAGAATGTAGGCAACAGAATAACTTGCTGGATTTTGCTACTTCATTATGTATTTCTGAAAATGTGTTATAGCTCAACTTTTATCAGCTATGCTAAAAAAATAGTGTATCTTAGTTTATATAGTTTTATAATAGTTTATATTATCCTTTTTTAATATTAATGTAGTTGATACAATGCAGGTATCCAGTTTGAAAACTATGGTTTTTCCATATCTACCTATCTCCTTTTCCTTTTTTTTTTTTTTTTTTTTGAGTCATACCTACCTTTTTTGCAGCTGATGCTGGGTTTTTTTCACTCAGTAGTAAACATGATTCCTTGACTGTCTAAATGTTTATAATGCATTAAGATACCTACTATAGAACTCGAAAATGTATTTTTATGTACTATGTATTTCCTACTGATGCACTGTTTGAAATAGTTGTAAATGGGGAAAGTTAGGACTGAGGAGCTTTGAGGGATGCCTCCAATGTGCCATTTTGGGTGCCAGAATATAGGAAGGGTATTAAACCATTAGAGAGGGTCCTAAGGAGGGCAGAGAAGATGGTGAAGGGCCTTAAGGAGAAGCCATATGAGGAGCAGCTGAGGGCTTGTGGTCTGTTCAGCCTGGAGAAGAGGAGAATGAGAGGAGATCCCACTGCAGAGGATCTCCTTGTGAGGGGAAGAGGAGGGGCAGGCACTGATCTCTTCTCTGTGGTGCCCAGTGACAGGACCCAAGGGAATGACTTGGAGTTGTGTCAGGGGAGGGTTTGGTTGGATATTAGGTAAATGTTCCTCACCCAAAGCGTGGTTGGGCAGTGGAACAGGCTTCCCAGGGAAGTGGTCACAGCACAGCCTGACAGAGTTCAAGAAGTGTTTGGACAATACTCTTGGGCACAAGGTGTCACTCCTGGGGATGGTGCTGTCCATGACAGGGACTTTGGTGATCCTTAAGGGTCCCTTCAGCATATTCTGAGATTCTGCCATTGTGTGAAAATGAATAAATGGGTTTAAGTGTTTTTAAAGTGATGTTTTTTAAACCGTAAATGTTTTTTTTAACTATAGGTGTTGGGAATTCTGCAAGAAGCTGATAGTCACATTGAAGCAGTCTTATTCAAAAACTGAATTGAGCTACCTAATAGGGAGGACACAACCTGTAGATATCAAAGATGCTGTCATCAGTAGGTTTGGGTCATAGACCCTGAGAGGAAATGACCTGCATTGTAATAATTATACTGTAGACATAAACTTTTTTATTGGCACAGCAACTCTTGGAATCTCCATGGAGAGAAGTGCTTTCTTTTTCCCAAAGAAGTCCTGTTCTTTTCTATAAATCTCTGTTCTCCATTATCATACCCACAAAATGGTTGGAAATTTCTTGGAGATGCAGCTTATTTGAAGAGTGGAAGAGCTAAAGATAAAGTCATGTAGCAGCCTAAGGTTATGAGCACTTATTGTTAAGGAGCAGTAACCTTAAGGCAAAATACGAATTCTCAGCTGAGTCACCATAATAATTAAATATAGTTTAGATAAGATTTTCTGTAATCTTTATTTACACCAGAGAATTGAAGCCTCCATTGAGGAGTTCAACATTAAGAACTTTTTATTTAATTATATTAATATAAATAGTTAGGTATTACTTGAAGGTTGAATCTCCTTTGATTGGGAATTTTGATCAAATTCCCTCCAGGAGAGAGGCTTTGAGCAGGGGAGGCTGTGTACACATAGATAGTGTTAGAGACTTACTTGTCTGTCTTTTCATCAATAATCTGTTCAGAAGGAAGTAAGCAAGGACTACTAAGCTTTTCTTTTGTCTCCAATTTCAGTGTTTTGTGATAATGTATTTAAAGTAGTTCTGTTTACTTAAACTTGTTTTAGTGTCTCAAGTCCCAGTGCCAAAATTTTCCTGTTAACGGATAACAGTACAGAGGAATGGAAGCGTTATGTTCTGTCTTCTTGCCATTAGTTTTGGCATTTTACTCTTTTTGTCTTACTAATGCAGGTAATATTTTTGGAAGCAACCACTTAGGGAACCATGCTGCAATTTTTTAGAAGTTTTGAATGCATTTTTAGTAGATAATCATAGACTGAATGCCTTACCAGGAAGGTCTTCAACTAGGTGGTAGTTTGGGGTTTTTTTTATTTTAAAAAATTATTTTAGCTCAAAGTGCTTTATGAGGTCACTGTTTAAGATGTCATTTTGAAGTGCAACAAAGAATTGAAAAGTAGAATTATTGGCTGGGGTTTTTTTATTTGCATGCCTTTTGCCAAAGTGAGGGAGTAGAACATGTACAGTTGACTGATACACTAGAGCAATTCTTCATAGATTATAAACAGGATATGAGCCCTGCAACATTAGGCAGGGTTAGTTGCCTTTTTGAGTTACCTTTCACATAAATATTAGTTGTAAAAGGTGAGAGCTGTCAACATCTGAACTGATTTGTTAATGTAAGTTTTAAGAAGCTACTCAAACATTTCTGTGGGCATAAAAATTAATGGAGTGTGTCTTTTATTTGCATGTGTACAGGTTGGGGTATTTGTCTTTTTGAAAACTTGTGACTTTCCTCTTAAGCAAATCTATCCATATTCCCTTTTTAAACAAATCTATCCATATTCAATTCTACAATCAATGCCTTTTTCACACAAGCTGGATGAAAAATGCAACCTTCTAGCCATTAGTCGTTAAATAAATAATTTATACAACAGTGAATTAAAACCAATTCAGCCTCCTTATTAATGAATCATTTGCCATGTGTGCCATAGTCTCTATCATGATTTGATTTTTTTGATATATGGAGCGTTATGAAATATTTACAGTAGTGTTGGCGTTAGGGGCATTGTTGTGCTTCCCATGAAAGATGATTTGTATTTGGCAACATGCATATCAAACCATCCAAACTCATTAGGCAAAGTCAAGTAATGTGATAAGACTATTTACACTCTTGGCTTCTTCCTGTTGCTTACATGCTCCAGTCTGTCTTAATGTGTTCAGAGTAACTTTTGCAGCCATAACCTCTGTCAGATTAATAAGTGAAACAAAGTGCAAGAGCAATAACTGAAGACTGAAATTCTAAAATAAAAAGATGAGAAGATTGTGCTTTCTCACACACATCAGATCATTTGTATTATTTGTAGGATGCAATTCCTGATTTAGATAAACAAGCTAATTTGTACAAAGATTACTTGTTCAGTGTCAAAGCTCAGATAGCAAGTAACAGGGTGTTGCTGTATTTAGAGGGGTTTTAGTAGAAGAAAATACGGAGTAAAACATATGGGGGTTTTATTGATGTGATTGTTTTAGACTTTCAATTTTTGCTTTAAATCCTTCTAGAATACATTGTTCTACCATCTTTGAAAATTGAACAATCATATACTATGCAGAAAAAGCAAATAAGAGAGTGGGATTACAGGGTTGTTCCTCCCCCCTTTTTTTTTTTCAATACAGTAGTGCAATTTTTAAAAATTTCTTTTGGTCCTGTTTTCTTTGTTTACGCTTTCATATCAACTTTCATGTAAAGCTGAAAACTCTTTAGAGGGAGGGCAGGACACAGAAAATGTTCCTGTGGAAGTTAGGAACAAGTGTCAGGTTCATAGTTACTCCATATTCCTCTTGTAGCAGTGAATGTTAAAAATGCTAAAGGTCTTTGAGCAGGTAATGCTGTTTTCTGTCTTACCCTTTCCACTTTTTTCATCCTTTCATTTTTGTTGTGTAACTTCATCTTTTTACTTCATCCTTGACCACAATATTTGAAGAACTACATTAAAAGAATTACAAGAAAATGAAAAATTTTGAGGTTTCATAATAAGGCAGATGTAGCCACAAGGTGTCACTACAATAAAAGTTTAAAAGACTTAATTTCTTTCTGTTTACACTTCTTTGATGAAAGTGTTTTTCCTACTGTGTGCTTTTTTTGTGTATTAAACTTCCCAGATTTACAAAATCATTCTGGTTTGCTCTTTATGCTATAGAGGGAGCAAGTACAGAGTTAGTACATAAAATCAGAAGGAAACCTTCAATTCATTTTCCATCTTTAGTTTGACATTGGATGATTCTGTGTTTTGATTGGGGAAGTAGTTCCCTGACCAGACCAATTTATAGTCTGAAATCAATGCTATTTTGTCAGTAATACCAGCAATCAAAAAATATATTGAAATAGTAAAGAGATCAATTTTTGTCTGTATTTGCTATTACTGCCTTAGCTCTTTTTGTGGTGATAATAGTGGGATTTATCAAAAGGAAATAGTATGAACAATTGGTCCTAAAGTATGTTTCTATTAAGAGAACTGGTAGATGCCTGTAAAAGCATGCTGTAAACGTGGGAAATCATTTAAGCATATTGTTTTTCCTGTTTTTTACATCTGCTTTAAACTGAAAAATCTTGAGGTTTGCTAGTATTACTGTGTTGAATTAATAGTGATATAAGGGCTCCATGTTTCCCTTAAAGCACCTGGCTGCTATAGAAAGTGTGGCATTAGAATTATTTTTACTTTAGAAGGTGTATTTGTATTTTATATGTATTTATTAGTGCAGAAAAAATTACTTGCCTTTCCTTTTATTAAGCATTAAGATACTGGGTGGATTTTTCGTTTAGTGCTTCAACAGTTTTTGCTACTAATGATTAAACTATTTGTAATCCTCTGCCTGAGTGAAGACAAATTAAATTGTAGACTGTGTCTTCTGAACATTGAAAAAATACAAGAAGAGTAAATTTTTCAGTACTAAAGTGGTTCTAAACTCAGACACGTTAGTAGTTGTGCACAATTGTTTTGTATGTAATGATATGCGAGGAGATGTGATTTTCAGATGTAGGCTAGACAAAACATTTTTCTTTGATTCTGGCCTTAATCAGGCAGCCTCACGTAACTGTGATAATTTCTACTGGTGGTGCTGCAGTAATTTTATTTTTCTTTGTCTTTTGGAGAGTCATTGAAATTAGCTACTGATTAAGCAGCAGTGTCTCACTCTCAGCCTTACCAGTAGGTCTCTG